CGGGGGGGGGAAAAAAAAAAGAGGCCATTGCTTTTCTGCAGAACCTACCCCATGTGCCTTCAGCTATCCTTTGCTTGCAGATCTAGACTGGCTATCATCCCCCAGGATCCGTTTTTATTCAGTGGCTCAATCCGAGAGAATTTGGACCCTCAGGGAAAATGGACAGATGCTGAACTCCATGAAGTGCTAGAGCAGTGCCACCTGCGGGATGCTGTTACCCAGATAGGTGAGTCTGGAGCCAGTGTGGAGAGATTGGTGGGCCCTGCTACTGGGAGAGGAAAGAAAGCTTCCAGTCAGAAAGCTGATGAAAAGGGATCAGGTAGATGTGGTAGGGAATTGGTTAGATGAGGCCCCACTAGCACCAGTGAGAAAAGGCCAGTGAGAGCCCAGTGACATTTCCAGAGATTTAGTATCAAGAAACAGTCAGGTGGTGGATTGGATGGCAGAATCTTGCTGATCAGCCTAGGCACCAGTGGATGCTCAGGCAGAGCCTCAGAGAGATGCCGTAGCCCTGGTTCTAGCAGCACATTTCATGTCTCTGGCAGATGTTGCTTGCATCCAAGCAGAAAGGCTTTGATTTCAAAGGCTTGGGACTGACTGGGATTGGAATTTTGAGTGCTGTGGGGGAAAAAAAAACAGACTGGGAGAGCTGTCTACACAGAGCGTGGTGTGATAACTGCTCAGTTTGACCTCTGCAGGTGGATTGGACAGTGAGCTGGGAGAGAGAGGAAAGAGTCTATCTGTGGGTCAGAGGCAGCTGGTGTGTCTGGCAAGAGCCCTCCTGACACAGGCCAAGGTGAGTGCCTGCCTCCATCAAAGCGAGGAGTGAGTTGCTGATGGCTGTGTTGGCACAACAGGGCAGGGTGCTCCAGGAGTGGGGTGTGGTGGTGATGGATGACCTATGCTACCTTGTCACACTATCCCTTGACATAGACTGGTGTCTCCTCAGTGATGTTTGGTGTCCCCTTCACTCTGTCCCTGGCAGGTGTTGTGCATTGATGAGGCCACAGCCAGTGTGGATCAGAAGACAGACCAGCTGCTGCAGCAAACCATCCGCCAGCGCTTTGCTGACAAAACTGTTTTGACAATTGCTCACAGGTACGGAGAAACCATCGCTCCATGTGTAAATTTGTTTTGACGCAGTGTTATGCCCTCAGAGGAAGCAGTGGCTGTGCCTGCCATGCCTGAAGGTTGAGCAGAACAAGGCGGTTAAAATGCTGTACCTAGAAACTGGGTGACAGCAGAGGGAAATACTGTATGGCTGATGGCACTCTTGGGCATTGCCTGCTGGGACCAGAGGGTGAACTAGGCGTGCGGTTCTGGCTAATGGGGCAAGGAGCAGTGGGGAAATACCCTACACAAAAACAGTAGTTGGACATATGAGTGAAGCAGGTGGCTCTGGCTCAGTAGAGGGCACTGCAGGACAACCAAAGGTGAAGGGCTGCAGGCAGCTTCTGGCCAGGGGAGGTAGAGCACTTGATAATTCTGTTTTCCAGTCCTCCGAGTGTTGGTTCCAGCCTGCATCTGACCCTGACAGGCTGGACATTCCCCAGACAGTACACAGCAGCAGTGCTTGCTCCACAGCCAAGAGATCTAATGTAAGAGTCAAAGCAGTGACAGGAGCACAAAGCACAAATGCTGTGGATACTGAGAAGGGATGGGTAAGCAGTGGTCTCTGCCCTGAATGCTCCCACTGTTGCCAAATGGAAGAGAATTTGGAGGAAGGTCATGTAGTAGTATGTAGGGTGTTTTAAAGGGAAATGCTTCCCAGCACCGGGTTTACCACAAAAATAAAAATCAGGCAAGCAGGTGACAGGGGATGTTGTCAAGTGGGAGTGGTGGATAACAGGCAGGGTGGGCCAGACCTTGCAAGGGAATTGAGTGGGTCTTGTTAAGTGGATTAGATAAGGAGGTAGGAGATGGAAATAGGATTTGAATGCTAGGGAGATAATGCAGAGCTAGAGTAGAAAAGTAAGCACACTGTGGGCTGAGGTGTGTGTTTGGGGTGTGGTCAAGCTCTCTTTGAAATAGCAATTACTGAGGAGAACCAGCAGAGGAGGGAGTGACAGAAGGTAAAGCAAGACTGGGTTGGAAATGGCCCCAGCCTCTTTTTCACTAGAACTGAGATTGGGTAGAGCACTGAGGAGGGAGAAATAATGATGGGATTCTGTACCTGTGGTTGTTCCACACCATTCGGTTTTGAGTGAGCCATTAATTGGATGGGCAAACAGAAGCAACTCAATAACTCTGCTGTGAGGATGGAAACATCTTGTATTTCAGTGGTGGACAGAAGTTGCCTGGTGAACTGGACTGTAGCATGCCTCGGAGTGCATAAGGAGAGGCTCTGTGAATATTAGTGCTGGGCATGTCTTGGGCCTGTTCTTGACAGCAGGTAAAGCAGTGCGTGGAGTTCTTCCTCCTCAGCTCCACTAATGTGTCCTGGTGTCTGCTGTCCACAGGCTGAACACCATCTTGGACTCAGATCGTGTGTTAGTGATGCAGGCTGGAAGAGTGGTGGAGCTGGACTCACCTGCCTGCCTAAGCAAAAAGGACGGCTCCTTGTTTCAGCGCCTGCTGCACAGTGGGCAGCAGTGACCTCCTTCTGGGGCTGAGGTCAGGCAGTCCTTCTGGGTCTGTGTCTACCTTTCCTCTTGCCTCAGCTGCCAGCTCCATCCCTGCAGAGCCAGGAGCTGCTGAAGTGAGAGGAGGGGTCATTGCCTCCTGCTGACAATGACTGTGTATCTCAGGAATGGAAGCATGGCCTTTCTTATGGTAGGGAAAAGTGAACTGGTGCTTAGGGCCATGTGAGCCTGGCTGGTGGGACACTGTTGCCCTCCAAAGCTTCCCTTTGAGATTACAGAGGGCTTTACTCCTCACTGAAGAATCAGTGACTCCTAATCTGAGGCTGTCTCATGTATGCAATTTAGAATAAAATGGAAACATTCTTGTGAAGTTGTGTTATTTGGGTTCCTTTCCCCTTTGCCCTCCAGACATAGACTTGCTTGTGAGCTGCAGAAGTGGTACCCTCTGCACTAACATAACCCTTCCTTCTTCCTAGAACAGCCAGGGAACTTTGACCTCTCCAGATACCCCAGAAGTTTGCAACCAGGGATCTTACTGCTCTTTCTCTGGCTTGCAGTAGAGACCCTTCCTTCCGAAAGGCCAGAATGCAATGACATTAAAGGCCCCTTAAGGCTAGTTTATTCCAACACCATTTTTCCTAGGGAAACTCCCCTTGACTCCTCCCCTGCTCCCAGCTGTACAAACACACGGCTTCTTTCAATTAGAGAATCAGCTTACTCTTCCCATCTTGCCCTTACACTTAGAGTGCTGGAAAGCAAGGGAAAGACAAGACTGAGTCAGTGCCTTGCAGATATTACCGTCCTGAGGCAGGTCCCTACCCACTGCAGTTACGTCTCTCTTTGCTCAGTGACAGGTAAGGCTGGCCTCAAGCTAAGCAGCCTCTGATGTTTTGAGATGTTAAGATCAAGAAGGCCCTGAGATCTCTAAACTTCTCCCAGCAGGACAATGCCAGGGCAGCAAAGTTAAGGGCTTCCAGGCAACAAAAGGTTTATGATGACTTTGGGCCAGAACATTGGGTAGAACAATCCACGTGCCGCAGTCTGGTTTTGCACTTTTGAAGGCAGTGATGAAAATACAGATACTCACAACTGTACAGGACAAGTAGCTGAGCAATGTGATGTAATTGAATCTGCTGAGAGCAGGAGGTTGATGTACAGAAATGCCTTCAACCTAAATTATTTTATCATTCTCTAATACAGTTTCTGGGCTTGTAATTGTTTTATTTGATAAAGGTACATTATCCATTCATGTATTAAAAAAATAATCTTTTTCATGAAGCCCCAGACCCCTCTCCCAGGACTCTCTCCTGGCTGAGTGCTTAATCTGCTGGCCACTCTCTTTCTACATGACCTCAAACCCTGTTCTGTGACCCTACAGGCCAGTAGTAGGGGTTGTTTTGTTGTTTATTTTTTAAGATTTCCACTGTTTGACCCCTCATTCCTGTGAGGAGGCACAGAAAATCCTGACTGTGGCAGGTAGGCCCTGCTTGCTGTACACCAGACCAGAAAAGGCAGAGCAGAGCTGGTACCAAGGCTAAGTGCCTCTCAGCCTTGCTTTAGCAAGGAGAATGCAGTGCTGTATCTGCTTTCTACAGTCATCATTGGCTCCGTATCCTGTCCACACATCCACTGCAGGGAGTTTAGCTTGGTTACTATCAAGAAACTCTGCAAGGGCTGGTTTGAGGTTAATGCCAGCAGGGTGCTTTGGAGGGACTGGCAGGGGAAATGAGGATCCTGTATTGCTCCTGAGCCAGTTGCAGCACATCTCCAGTCTTGGCCAGCGCCAGTTTCACCTGTGAGGACATGAGAAGGACCAGCTCAGGCCCGGGATGCCCCACAGGGAAGAGGCCATGCGCTTCCCCATCAGCAAACAGTAAAGCAGAAGTGCACGTTGGGTTGGGGAAGGAGCTTTGCTGTCTGTGTCCATACCAGAAAGGACGGCTCCATAAGTGGGGAGAGGAGACACCACAGATCATCAGGAGAAAGGTACAGAACATGTCTGTAATACTAAGTCTGATGGTAAGAGGAAGGAGCGTCACGTAGGGCAGAAAAAGGGCAGGAGACCCTAAACAATCTCTAGTCTTTCCAAACTGGCTCGCCTGGCCACAAGGCCACATCTGCTTGTGCCCTTGGAACACGGCATCTGAAACTACAGCCTCCAGAAAGATCTGGGAGACCCTGTTCCAGTCTGATGAGTTGTAGAGGACCTAGCAGAAGACGCTTGTGAGACAGCACTCCAGCAGTCCCAGTCCATTTCCAAGTGCTCACACTGGAGCGGTACCAATGCTGCTCCCTTGCAGGGCTGGCCCCATGCAGCCCTGCCTTCACTCGCACAGGCGCTGGCCGGGTGGAGATGGCTTGGGCCCATTGCACCGAGCTCAGCACCGTGGGGTTTTGTTGATGTGCTCACTGCCCAAGGAGCCTTTCCCTACTGCCCAATTTGCACCAGAACAGCTGCCTGGGGTGCAGTTCGAGGGGTCTGCCAGCATGATGACCTGCAGGGGCCCGGCTCAGAGTGCTCAGAGCTCTGTTGTTTTCCTGGGCTCGATCAGGACCGAGTTTAACATGCCCACCTGGCACTCCTGATCTTGGAGCTTCCTGGCAGCCTGTGAAGGGCTTTGGCACCAGTTCGACCGTTGTCGGCCCCTCTGCCAGTTCCTCAGGATGAGCAGGATAGTGATGAGGACCAGCACTGCCGTCAGCACCCCAAACACCAGCACTGTCACCAGCTGGGCTTCGCTCAGCCCTGAGTCCCTTTGGGTCACCACCTCTTTCACAGAGATTTTTAACAACCCTCCTCCCGGCACTTTCTCACTGTGGTTGGCCACGCGCCGCCCCGTAACTGCACTCCTCATGGACTCTGGCTGTGTCACCTCAGGCATCTCGCTGGTGGTGCTCCTAATCGCCCAGCCGCTCTCGTGGTTCAAAGGATGGTAGGGGGGAGCCCAGGTGGGCTCAGGGATGGAGATCTCACAGGTTTTGCCAGTGAAACGGTCCGGACACAAGCAGTCATAGTCATTGATGCGGTCATAGCACTTGGCCCCATTTTTGCAGGGCTGGCTGGCACAGTCGTTGATGTTGATGGTGCAGAAACGCCCCTCGAAGCCCACCTGGCATTGGCAGGAGAAGCGGTTGATGCCATCATGGCAGGTGGCACCGTTGGCGCAGGGCCGCATCAGGCAGTCATCCACGTCGTGCTCACAGAGAGCCCCCACAAAGCCAGCGAGGCACCGGCAGGTGAAGTTGCTGGCAAAGCCGTTTTCATCTTGACACTGCCCCCCATTCTTGCATGGAGACCTGCAAGGAGAGAGGAGGGAGGTCATGGCCCTGGAAAACAAGCGACTCCCCCTGCCATGGGGATGGAAACTCGCTACTGGAGCTGGCTGCCAAGCCACAGGGCAGGTGGATGGATGCGGTAAAGGAGGATGCGGTAAAGCTTCTGCCTCTATAGTGACAAGATTGGGATGTCCCCAAGGCACAGGGCAACTGCTCAATGGGAAGAGTCCGCAAGCCAAGGATCTGAGGAAGATGCAGTTCCTCCTGGTGCTCCTTAAGGCACAACTGGTGTCAGTTCATTGCATCCACATTGACAAGGGATGGGAACCTGCTCAGATCACAGCCCTAGCAGGACTACAGCATGCCAAGTTAAACTAAAGCCAAAGATGGTTTTGGCTTAACTCCATTAGTGCATGGAAATCTAGAGACAACGAGCCAAGCTGAGCTGCAACTAATGCTGTCTGTCATCACAATGCTGTGCCTTACCCTGCCTTCTCACATGGCCCTGCCTTCATCTCACAGTCCTTCCCATGGAAGCCCTCTGGACACAGACAGGAGTAGTCCCCATCTCGGTCATAGATGCACTGAGCCCCATTCTGGCATGGGGACTGATGTTCGCAGATGTGGACGTCTGAGGGGGGAAAGAAAAGGTGGAGTGAGTGAGAAATGAGAATTAATGCAGTCACTTCAGTTCCCAAACTCTGCCAGACCCAGTGGGGATGGGAAAGTGGCCACACCTTCTCCCTCCTTCCTTTCATGAAGCACTAGCAAGCCAGGCCTGGAGGTGGCAAGAAGACCCCTTGTTGGCCTGTGTGATGTGCCAGTGCTGTGCGCGCCAGCCAGCAGGAGCTCACCATGGTGGTGGCATGGGGGAGTTGCACTGTTAGGCCAGATAACAGCACTTGGATACAGTGCTATGCTGCTCCCAGCATGCAGCTGGGGACAGCCAAAGCAGCCCAAGCTGGCATCCCACACGTGGCTTCTGGCTGTGCCATCCCTCCTATCAGTGCAGGACTTTAACCACGGCACCCTGAAGCACAGCATGGGAATGAGATTGGATGATGCTCCACTGTCCCTTGCAGAGCCAGCCATCCGCACAGCCAGGGACTCACCCTTGTCGCAGAACTTGCCGGCCCAGCTGCTGTGACAGATGCACTGCCAGGGCTGGTGGCAGGTCCCGTGGAGGCAGCCCGGCATGCGCACACACTCCTCGCAGTACTCGCCCTCCCAGCCTGGGTCGCACCTGAGGGGACAGGGCAGCGTTGTGACACCCAGCTTTTCTGCACCTACTGAACAAGCCCTGTGTATCTCCCACCACACAGCCAGACAGGCAGAGAGAAGCCCCATCTGTAACACCAGGATCCTCAGGGGATGGGACGAGAGGTCCTGTACTGGAGTGGGTGGTCACTATGCAAGTTCTCACATGATGTGGCCAGCATGTTGAAAGCACTGAGCTACAGGGGAGGGTCAGGTTGGGTGTTAGGAAAACGTTAATCACCAGAGGGTGGTCGGGCCCTTGAACAGGTTACCCAGGGCAGTGGTCATGGCACTCTTGGAAGTATGATCTGAATTTTGAATGGTCCTAGATGGAGCCAGGAGTTGGTCTCAGTGATCCTTTTGGGTCCTTTCCAACTTGGAATATTCTACAACTCCGTGACTCTACAGGCTTATGGGTGCAGCATGGTGGGAAAACAGAGCCCTACAGGATACGACGAGTCTTCTGCCCCAGAGGAGCGGTGTGGTGGCCACAGCCACCAACAAGCAAAGCTATGGTGTCCCAGTAGCCTTCCCTCATCCTATCAGCTCTCAGCAAGTGCTAAGAAAAGAGGGCATCTCTATGGAAGCAGGGCTGAGCGGAGGTGGCACCAGATACTGCAAAAGCTATAAACAAAACAGCGTGAAGATAAACCTCAGGATAAACCTGAGCGTGGGCAGCAAGCACCCCTTCCCTTGGGTATCACAGGCTGTGGTGCAGAAGAGAAGGTGTGAGCGGCTTTCCTTTCCCAAAAGAGAAAGCCTAAAAACTACAAGGACAGAAGTCCCTGGGCACTGGGGCAATTTCGGTGGGGTGTTGCCAAAGCTGAGGTGTGGATGAGGAAAGATAAATGCATCGAGGGAGGTGAACGTACCTGCACTTCCCATCCTGGTCGCAGCTGCCATGGGCCAGGTTGCAGTGCTCACTGCAGTCATCACCTGCAAGGCAGGGACAGGGGGCTGAGGTTAAACAGAGATCATGGGCGACCCCAGGTCTGCTCTGGCCCTGCTGGCTTGCAGGTAACTGAAAAATGGGACCCTATGGCCTGTACTACAGCACCTGGACCATTGGGGCGGGAAGGCTCAGGCACACACAGGGCACAAAGGCACCAAAGGCAGAAGTAGTGAGAACGGGTCCTTTGTGTCTCTAGGATGTTCCCATTCCTGAGAAAAACTGTTTGCATGCAGCAGACTGCAGCCAGGGCCCGAGCACTCCCCTTCACCTTGAGGAGCAGGTATCCAGTTCTGCTTATTTATTTAAAGGCCACCATAAAGAGGCTGTAACTGAGCCATGGCCTTGCCATGCCACGTCTCACTCATGATCCACGTCAGCCTGCTTTCTCCAGCTCCTTGTCTGCTTTCATCCCAACCTCCCCCTCCGTCCCGTCACCTGCTCAGCGCTTTCTACAGGAACCCAATGTGCACCCAGGCCAGCAAGTGACTGCCCGCCCTGATCAGGCTCCTTCATCCATGAGGCATGAGCCTCCCAAACCTCCATCCGTGAGGCAGGAGCCTCCCAAATCCAACCAGGGCAGTGGTGCTGGATCTGCTCGGTCCAGGCTTGGGTATCACTGTCCCTCCTGCCTGTGAGCACCTCTCCTGGCAGATGGCTTTGGGAATTCAGCACTTATCTGGAGTGGGGGTAGGGCAAGATAATCTTCAGGATTTTGCCTCACGGGATCCAGGATTAGCCATTTGGGGTCAGGATCTTCTCCCCCTCTCACCCTACCTCTCCCAGAGGGCCTATCACAGTGAGATGTGGGGCACTGGGACCTCCCGCCTGCTCATGCACTGCCACCCAGCTGCCACCGCAACAGGGCCTTATGGTCACCATTAGTTGCCTCCCAGGTGATGGATGATGAAGCAGCATTGTCTGGTTTTCCATGTCAGGCCAGCTCTATTTTGCACAATGAGCTCAGGAGTTTTGTCCATGCCAGGAATGGATTTAGAAAGGTGGACAGAGAAGAGCAGGACCCAGAGACTCACCTTGGGCAAGCTGGTGATGGGCTAAGAGGATCCAAAGCAAGGACATGAGCTGGAGACAGAAACTCCTGAGCATGGTCAGTGTGGCCCCACCGAGATGAACACCTACAGAGGCAAAAAGAGCTGGCTGAGGAAAGGCCTCTGGCTCACACTGCAGCATCACTTCACGTGTCCCTTCCTCTCCACTGCCTGGGAGTTCTGAGCTGAAACATCCGGTTTTGTACGGGCTTCTCACCACATACCTCTCTGTCCTTCCATGCTCCTTCCTCTAATGCAACATTGGAGCACTAAGAACCTAGAAGCCTTCTGACACGTGCATATGGGAGACCAAACAGATACACTCAGTGCTGAGTGCACAGCAGCTGAGGCTGCTACACTGCTCTGTTCAAGGCTCTATGAACACTAGCGCTGCCAAGGGGACCTTCCCCTTCCCTCCCTGCATCAGGGGACCTGAGCTCTGTGTTAAGTGAGGTGTGAGGTTCCTGCACTGCATCTATCCTATGCTCACAGCACATGGGCTGCTTTTCAAAGACTCACTGCCTGCAGCAAGCAAACCTCGTAAGCTGGTGGCTAAGATGCGAAGCTCCGTCTGGCTCAATTACGACGAAAGGGAATGGGGTGGATTTGGTGGTGAGAGGGCAGTAAGTAGCACCAGGGAAAATAGCATTGGTAAGGAAGGGGGTGAAGCAATAGGCCCTAGGGTTGAAGCCCCAAGCAGCTCACTAGCTGGGTGAGCTTCTGCCCTTTCCTTCTGCCACCCCACAGAGAGACCTGTGAGCCCTGATTTTCTGACCACCTCCTGCCCTTGTAAAGTAGCATTAAACACTCTTCAAAAAACACTTCAATCCCTCCCAGCCTTCTGGGGTTGTTTAGGGCAGGAAATTCTAGGGTGATATCATAAGGATATTACTATAATGAGATGGGAGGGGTTAAGCCATCCCGTGAGGAGCGTGGCATGGAGCAGGCTCCATCCAGTTGCGTGGGTGTGATGAGCAGAGGCCGTGCTGCTCTCAGCCCCACTGTGAAGTGAGAGAAGGTTGCGTTGGGTCTGCAGCTACTTGGAAGACTTTCCAGATTTGGAGAGAAGTCACCTCCACACCTACATCCATTGCAGGACAAGATGCTAGGGACACTTTTAATGGCTCGACACATGTGGACCAGACAAAATCACCCACTGAGCCCAAAGCAGTGATGCTGTTAAGAGCATCTTGCCACAAACAAACCATCGCCCACAAAGGACACAGCATTTTCAGACAGTGTCCCAGCCAAATTCCAGCAGGGATCACAGCATCCTCCCTCTGTGTGCTCCCCTTGTCACCGTGCTCTCAGGACTGTCCTGCGCTTCCTGCCCTGAAATGCTGGGCAGTAATGGACAGCTGCAGCATTTCAGGAGAGGGCGAAGCAATGCCTAGGAAACTTATAAAATAATTGAGGGCTGACGGGTGAGCAGTTGGCAGCCCATCCCTTAGGGCTGTTGAAAGCCCGACCGCCGATCACCACGCGTCATTGCAAAGCTCGCTGCGCGAGGCTCCCCACTGCTGCCCCTTCGAGCTCCGGACCTCCGGGTGCTGCCTTCGGTGGCCGCATCCCGGGGGAAATCGGAGCCCACGCGGATGTCAGCGGGCCTGGCCTTGGGGCACAGGACGCGCCCACTCTCTCTTCCCTAATTCCCTCCAGTGCCCCGGGGCATGAGGGCCCCCCCGGGGGCAATTACAGACACCCTCTCGCGGGTGAGCGGGAACCGCCGGAGGCGACCGGGGACAACCTCAGAACGAGGGCATTTCCCCAGTCTCCCGGCCCGGAGCTATCGAGGCACGGCAGGATGCACCGGGAGATGCCGCGCCGCAGCGGCTCAGCCTTCTCGGCCCCTTCAGACCCCGCGGCTTCACGACCCCTCCGGATCCCCCCGCACTCCCGGGAGGGTCCGGGCGGGGAGCGCTCGCTCCGCTGCTCCCCCTCTCCGGCCGGGGGGCCTCGCACCACCCGGGCCCCGCCGCCTTCCCGGGCGGCGGGGGCCGCGCAGCGAGACCCGCCCACCTCCCCGGTGGGCTCGCCTCGGCGACGCGGCGGCTCGTGGGGCTATCGCGGGGCTCGGGGGGTCGTGGGTGTGGTGGCCGGCGCGGCTTCTGGGAGGTCGGCTGGGGTGATGGGGAGGCGCGGGTCTGCGGAGGGAGCTGCCGCGTGTGCCGCTCCGCCCGCCGCCGCCGCCGCCGCCGCCGTGCGCCCCGGCCGCCTGCCAGCGGCTGCGTGTGCCTGCACATCCCCGCTCCCTCCCCGGGACATCCCGCCTCCCGCAGCCCCAAACCGCAGGCAGCCCCCCCGGGCCGGCTCGGCCCGACCCGCCCTGCCCGCTCACCCCTGCCCTGCTCCCGCTGCCTCCGGGGGCGGCCACACGCAGGACTCCCACCCACCCACGGTCACTGCGCGGGCCAGGCTGATCCCCCGGACCCACGAACCGTGGCAGCTCCGGGCTGGGAGTCGGATCCCGGAGGAACCCCTTAGCAGGGGGCAGGGTCAGACATCCCCGTACACGGAGGCTTCGCAGCTGGAGTCGCGCAATGCCGGGCTCCCGTATTGGTCACCTCCCGCTCAGCACCTCTGCCTACGCACCAGGAAACCCCACCAGATTTCCCCCGGGCTTCACAAAGCTTCAAGATATTGAGAGAAGTGAAAATGCCACCCCAGACCCTCTGTGCCATCTCCGGTCCCTCCACTGAGCACACCTTCATTTTCAAGCCCTGCGATTTAAAGTCCAAAACTAGAGAAACAACGTGAGGCAACCACACCAGTAAGAAGGCACCCTGCCAAGCTGCCAGGAAGGAGCCATCCCACCCAGCTGTGGTTCTTGGTGCTTCTCCTGCTGCTGCTTGTGAGACATAGAGACCGATGCTCCAACATGGAGACAGCCCTGTGTGAGGGGCTGGGCAGCCAAGTCCTTAAGAGGAACAGCTGCCTGTGCTTCTCCTCACCTTGCATGGCCTTTCTGCCACTCTATAAGACCAGATTACTCCACCACCTTCCAAGGCCTAGCTATCCTTAATTAGAAATCATCCGCCCCTTTTCCATACTCCATTGACCCCAGAGTTTGCTATTTTCCTCCAGGAAGCAAGAATAACCGAATGCTCCTGGTACTCATGTGGGTATTATCAGTTCCTGCCTCCTCACCACATCCCTGCCCTCTCTTTGTCACTTCCTGCAACCCCTATGACTCTCATAGCCCCACCAAAGTCCAGCTCTGCACTTCATCTGCCTGCAGACCTCGGTTTGTTCAGACAGCACAACTCTAGGGAGCTGTACTATGGGTTCCTACCTCATGTGCCTCCTTTCTGCCTCCCTTCTGCTTTCCTGTCAGGCAAAAACACCGTGCTTCTCTTTGCCTGCCTTCCCCTATCTTGATCACCCCATGGAACTGCTCCAAGGGCCCTGAGGATCAGGTAGGTCCCAGTCTCCTGCAGCTCGGATGCTGACTGAGGTGCATCAGCTCTAGGATGCTTCCTGCAGTTTTCCATCCTGCTCTCATTCTCTTCTGTGGATATCTGCCCTGGCACTGCACCACATTGCGAGGCCATACCTGCATGCAGGTAAACCTTGATTGAATTAACATTATAAAAAACTCTTGCAGATCGACGCTGTGTGTTGGTACCCAGAAGCATCTGTATCCACAACAGGAGTTGTGCGGGAGGGGGAGGTGGGATTGGGTTGCAGTGAGCTGAGCCACACACGTGGCTTCCCCATAACAGTCATCTCCGAGGTGAAATCTGTGGCCAAGGCTAGGGAGGGGAAATCGGCTGCTGGAGATCTGCATGCCAGGCAGGGGAGTGGAGAAGGGAAACCATGGCAGGGATTCAGAGGGTGAAGTGAATACATCTGAGGAAAAAGAATCTGGGGTTTGGTTTATTCCTGTTGGTGTGAGCACCACAGACAGGGAGGGGTGAGCATAGAAAAGTGGGTGCAGAACGGAGCAGATAGATACACCAGGCACAACGAAACCCCAAGCATGCTCCTTTCTCAGCACTGAAGGGCTCTTGTCCGATCCTTGGGCAAACTCTGAGCCTTGCTCTGGCTGTCCCCAGGCTGCCCATGATGACTCCAGCAAAGTGACTCTATTTGCAGACCCAAGGTATGAGATTTGAGGAGGGGATTCCTGCATTTGGCTTTGACCCGGCTCTAATATGCTCTGATCCCTGCCGTGTCATCCCTAGGGGCGTCGCGCATGGAACAGCTGCTGGGTCAGAATTAGGAAGGATTTTTTCCTAGCCATAAGAATCCTTCCAGTGCTCTTCCCTTCGCTGAAGGAAACCCCACAGAGAAGAGACCCAGAGTGGGGTTGGGAATCCCCCATCACCACAGCACCTTTGTGTCTCTCCTCCGTGCCTGCCAGCTGCAGGCTCCCTTCTGTACCATCATTCCCAGTGAGATGAAAAAGTTACCTGTCAAAGCCAGCTGGGGCTGCTTGCTTTTCCTCCAGTGTCTGCAGCCTGCACCTTGGAGACAGCTGGACATGAGGGGTGAGGATGCTTGGCTTCAGCAGCGGGTGATACTGCCTCTTCTCCTCCACTGAGGAACCTTCCCCAGAGCAAGAAGAGAAAGAAGCTCTTCTCTTTGCAGACTCCCAGGAAAACTCACCCCTTCCTGCCCACTGCAGTCCCTTAAGGGAGACAGAGGAGCAGCACAAGCAGCTGGAGAATGGCCGCAAACACCTCTGAACTGCCAGCTTACACCAGCATCCTCCCCCGCGGCTCAGGACGAACCTTTCCTCTGTATTGAAACGCTTGCTGTGCAGCACTGGCCCGGGGTCTCTGGGTAAAAACAAATGTTCTCCCCCATGCCACCCCCCTTGTTTCTCCCATCCCACCCCAGCCCACAACAAACATCAGCAGCTCGCTGGCCCCGCAGCCATGTAACCCAACCCCAGCCATTGTTCCCCCTTCCCCAAGGTCTATATTTGACTCTGCGGCAGCACCATCTCTGTGTGGATGTGTGTGTGTGTGTGCTCACCGCACGCGCACACTCCAATATTTGTTCAGAGCCTCATTCTCCAGATGCCCGGGATTGCTTAGAAATAGCTTCCATGGG